CATAATAATAACAACAATAACAATAATAATAATAATAATAATAATAATAATAATCATAATAATAACAATAATAATAATAATAATAATAATAAAATGAACCATGCGATCAAAATGGAGATGGAATGGTGATGCATGTGTGTGGTAAAAAATTCTACTAGAGTAGAGAATAACGGCATATAAAGTACATCAAATTTGGTGTGGTGCCCAATTGGAGTCTTATTGTACAGCAGAAGAAGTCAAGTTGTAATTGAGCTGCTGAGAAAATGTCTTCTTCAGGAAGTCTTCAGAGAACCAGGTGGACTAAGGCCATGAATGTAGCAGCAATGGAATGTTATTGGCCTCGCCTACGCGAGGTATAGGTAGTTGTTGTGTGTGTCTGTCATTCATTCATTCATTCTGTACAACTGAAATTTGTTTTTAATAAACAATAACTTTAGCACAGCGTGTTCTAAGCTCCTAGATCTTTCTTTTTGACGTGGAAAAGTCTTTCTTAACTGTTTTATGTTGCTCAAATACAAGTGCTAGGTACAGAAGCTTCAAAGTAAGAAAATCGAGTAGTTGGGCCAAGTTCCGTTGTGTTGGCACTTTAGAGATAGCTGGTAGCATTTTTCAGTAGATTAGAAAATGGCCTCCAAAAATTATGAACAGATTTCTCTAAATCATACTTGATGAAGAGTTATACTTACTTGAAATTGTTGAGGTCACTCGTTTGTGCAGCGATAGAGCAACAACTTGCTGGGTTATAGGTACTAAAGTACATATACTATCTCAAATATACAAAGGCAGCAACTTTTTTTGTCAGCAAGTTTATCATATATTGCTGATTAGTAAAGAAAAAGTGAAGCTTCTTTCTCACATGGTCTTCTTGCTGCCACTCATGAAATGCCACACCTTTCAATCTACATGCATGGGAGGGGCTGGAGCTGCTTGCATGTATGTGCTGCAGTGCTGCTACTTCTGCAGGTATTCAAGAGCAAGTGCAACTGTAGGAAGCTAGTGTTGAGCAGACTCTCTTCATGCTGATAATCAAACAGTTATTGAAGTGCGGGCATGCACCATAGCAGCTATATGGGCGAGGCCATGCACCGTAGGTGTCTCGTTACTTATCTAATCCTGTGGATAATAATGGCAGGTCAGTTAGGGGGTACAGAAAAAGGATGTATGAGAGTTGGAAGGTCAGAGGAGGTGATTTAGGAATATCTGAGCAAAGGTTGTGTGATCAAGTGAGAGCTATTAGGAAGAATGGTTGGTTAAGCCAAGTAGAAATTGAAAAGATTAGGAGGAAAGTAACAGAAGATGTGGGTGAAAAATCTAGAAATAGTGTGGACAGGAGTGTTAGTGTTGA